AGAATGCCTGGAAAGGCATATGTTCTGGAGGATGTTCCCGGCCAAACTCATTAGCAATAAGCCAATACCGTACGGTACCTTGGTTGTGGAAATCGCTCTCAAATAGAATGACCAGACATATGTTAGATATGTGTTACATTGCCCAAGCCCCATCCCGCACACACAGAGCCCGGTTATTTTCCATTACTATTGTATTGTCAGGGCCGTGAGAGCTTGAGTGTATTGCATGCCGCGCCCGAATGCAAGGACGTCATAAACCAGCCGTACCTAAGCATCGCGTTAGCGCCTTGAGCGAAGTGACGACCTCGGGAGGGTGGAGCAGAATTGCAGGTACCCGTCCGTACCGTGCCGCAGGGGCGTCTTGCTTGATATCTTATCGTGCGTATTACCACGAGCAACGCGGCCGCTAGTACTAGGTATACCGGCACGACCGGTACCCCGGCACCCCGGTACCGGTACCTTACTACCTACATGCTAGCGCGGCTTGAAGCCCGGATACCTCCACGCCAATCTCCACGCCTGCCCCTAACCAGCCTCGTATGGGATGCAACGTATCCCGCGATCGGCCATGGATGCACTTCTGGAAGGTCTCAACGATGCACAAAAGAGCGCCGTGACGAGCCCCGCAGGTGTCGTGCAAGTGCTCGCGCCTCCTGGTTCGGGCAAGACGAAAACACTGACCGCACGAGTGGCGTACCACATCAGCCACGAGCGGCTACAGCCATGGAACATTGTCGTATGCACCTTCACCACCAAAGCTGCGCGGGAGATGAAGGAGAGGATCAAGGAGTTTGTGGGTGAGAAGCTCGAGCAGAAATTGATCATGGGTACCTTCCATTCCGTCGCGCGACACTTCCTGTCCCGCTATGGCCAGGAGATCGGGATTGACAAGAATTTTGGCATCGCAGACACCAGCGACAGTTCAGCGATTCTGAAACGCATAGTCACGCGCTATCAGTACACCGTGGAACCAGGCCATGCTCGTTCACGCATCTCCAAGTTGAAGGCGAAGGGCATTTCGGCCGACGATTTTAGGACGACCGCCAAGAATGTCAATGAAAACGAGTTCGCCAGCGTCTACTCTTCTTACCAGGAACACTTGAAGGCCTCTAATCTCCTCGACTTTGACGATCTTCTCGTGCGTTGCGTCGACCTTCTGAGGCAAGTCCCATCGTGCGTCTCGACTATACAGGCTGTGCTCATCGACGAGTATCAGGACACCAACAACATCCAGTACGAGCTGATGCGATTCCTGGCTCAAAGAACGGGACGCATCACCATTGTCGGCGACCCAGATCAGAGCATCTACGGTTTTCGATCCGCTGAGATCAAAAACTTGCATCGCATGCGCACAGATTACCCAGAGTCAGTTGTCATCAACCTTGAAAACAACTACCGGTCCTCAGGATATATTCTCAGCTCAGCCATGGCTGTGATAGAGCAGGATGAAAGCCGACCCCAGAGGTCATTGATTGCCACACATGGCGTTGGCGAACAACCCACTCTTCGCCATCTCGTGTCGGCGAACATTGAGGCGATGTGGATAGTTGAAGAGATCCACCGGACCCGAACCCTCTTAGCTGGTCTGCTGAGTTATAACGATTACGCTATCCTCTTGCGCTCGTCGTCACTGTCTCTCCAGATTGAGAGAGCTTTGGGACAGGCCGGTATCCCCTATCGCATGGTTGCGGGGACCAAGTTCTTCGATCGCGCCGAAATTAGAATCATTCTGGACTATCTGCGCGTAATTAGTCAGCCGGAACACAATTGCGCGGTAGCGCGTGTCATTAACGTACCTGCTCGGAAAGTCGGCGACGTTACAGTGAAAGCTCTGCTCGATGAAGCAGAGATAAAAAAGATCACTTTGTGGAAATTGGTGCTCGATGTTGCCCAGGGTAGAAGGAAGTCAGAGAGCAAAGTGTCTTTCCAAGCACAGAAGGGCATTGAGCAATTCGTCAATGTTATACTCACCTCGCGCGAGAAGCTTCTTCCCGACAAGGGTAGAGATTGTAACTTGCCAGAACTGATTGGTCACGTCCTAAAGAAGATCTCGTTCGAGTCCCACCTCAAACAGGCCCACAAGGAAAACTGGCAAGAGAGATGGGCGAATGTGGAGGAGCTTGTGAATCAGGCAACGCATATGGCCACTGTAGTTGCCAATGGAGAAGAGATCGCCGATGATGCGGTGCCTATTGTAGACGCTATTGCGCAACAACAGGATACGGCTGCTGACATTCTATCTAAGTTCCTTGCGAATGTCACACTCTCAAGCGCAGCAGATCAGGAGGGCGGTGAGCTAGACCAAGTCACCATGTCCACCATCCATGCTGCGAAGGGACTAGAATGGCCTGTCGTCTTCATGCCTGCAGTATATGACGGCTCCATTCCCCATAGCCGCGCGGACGACGAGGGCGAAGAACGGCGTCTGTTGTACGTCGGCATGACGCGGGCACAAGGACTGCTATATCTAAGCTGTCCATTCAAGCAGTCGGGGCAACAAGAGACGAAACTCTCAAGGTTTGTATCTGAACGCAAAGTGCAGAAGCTCTTCAATGAACGGGGACCCGACTTGGCGTTCAAACGCAATACTATTCCAGACCTCGCTCGAATCCTTCGTCGCCCATGTCCGTCATCTACAGACATAGACGCCGCTCGTAGCTCGCTGGAACAATTGGAGGATGACAAGTACCCAGCAACGCGAGAAGAGATGGAGGATGGTAATTTCTCATGGGGTACTTCCTCGGACGACAAGTTCAAAGGCTCACATCCTAGAAGCGAGGGGCCGCAGCAAGTTGTCAAGAGACGTAAACTTGAAAGCTCAAATTCCTGCTCAAGTGGGGTGGTACCGGTCACAAATGAAGTGGTCACTTGTTTCACGGCGACCACTACTGTGCAGACTATGAAGGCCGGCTTCACGAGCGCGCGGGAGCTGGGTGACGTTCAAGCAATGCAGAGAGAAGCAGAGCGCATCCGCACGCTCGCCAGCGTCCCGGACGCAGAACCAGGCAAGGCAGCACATGCCGAATCCAGAAAGGGAAAAGGAAAGCCCGCTGGAGCAAACACGATCAAGGTACGGGCGATAGGTCAAGAACCCATTACTAGCTTTTTCAAGCGAACAGGCAGTACAGTAGGGGAAGAGGTGGAACCTGTACTTTCTTCCACAGCCTCATCTTCCCAGGGCTCGCAGTCATCACTCGTTTATCACATGCCACTGCCGTTATACGACATGTCTAACGCCCGACCGGCTGCTTCACGGACCCCGCGTCTCTTTCAAGCTCTCCCAGTACCAACCCATAAACTACAGAATCGCCCAATACCCTACAAGCCCCAACGAAGGGCATCGGAGACCGAGACTGCGGACACGCAATATGTGCTCTTATCAAGCTCGCCGACCAAGCCCGACGCGGAAGAAGCGTCGAGTTTATCGAGAATGAACACAGAGCTTAAGGACCAGAGGAGCCCAGTAAAGAATTCATCGACGTCTCGCGATTCGGCAACAAACTTCCGGGCGGCATCGACACTTCATACAACGTCAATGAACCGGATGCAGAGGAAGACTTTGGGTACGAGGAGGAGCATGCAGGGATGGAGCGTGAAACATAATCAGATGCCGAAGCCGCGACCGCCCTGACGCGGATTGTACATCGGGAGATGAGTTGGTTACTGGCATGATAACTAGAATTAGAAAGTTTAAATCGGTTCTGCGGACCTGAGCCTAGGATTTGCTCGATACTCATGCGAACGGATGTTGTCATTGGCTATTTTAAGTAGATTCACATATCACCGTTGCGCAGTACACTTGCTGGTTCTACGCTCGCTTGTTCGTATCTAACCACACTACAAGGACGACTAGTCTCCATGGGTAGCAGCCTCCTCCATAGCTAGCACTGCGTTCTCTAGCTCCCTAATTCTTTGTCCAACCCTCCTCTTCACCTCCTCCGCAATCCCTCTATCCGCACCCTCAACGACACCTCTGTAGTACTCCAATAGACGATCCAGCTCCTCTCTCGCCGCTGCTCTGTCATCCGGCGCATACGTGGTGTTCTTCTCCGACTCTTCGGACGCAATCTCAAACTCGTCTTTCGCGGTACCGTACAACTCCTGTATCTCCTCTATGGCGTATTCGACCGCTTCTTGCCTATCTGGAGACAGAGATGAGGGCGACTGTGAGGTCGGTGACGCGAATTTTGCGCATGGTTTTGAGGTAAAGGTACGGACCGAGGAGAGGGCGTTGTACGATGTGTTGAAACGCGTCCACTGGTTTGGCGCCGCGAGAAGAGAAAAGTTGCGCGCTTGATAGGGTGGCGGAGGAGATGGTGAACGGGAGCGCTGTTGCGCGTATATGAGTTGTTGCGATTCTGGAGACGATGTTTGTTGTGCTGCTATAATACTTGCGCGGAGCGTCGTCTGTCGGAGCAGGGTGCGGATAGGTGCTGAGCCGGAGGGCACTTTCGGAGACGGCGGCCGGTGGTACGAGGCGAGGAATTGACGAGGAATTGAGCGCTGGACTGCCGGGCGCAGTAGAGGCGCTTTTGGAAAGAGGACATGCGACATGGCGGCTGGTGTTGGACTGAGAGTTGGTGAGAAGGGCGCGGAGACGCCTCGGGCTCACATGGACTCTGGAGCTGTGTCATGTGCAAGTGGTGGCGACCCGGCTGTTCTTAAGCTCCACAGCTGAGGTTTGCTCTATATAGTAACATGTCTTCTACAACTCTTTGGATTATACTTTCTAGGTATATAGATAGATTTGAGAAAATCCGCTTTTGAGGAAAACCATAGCGAGCGTGCTTTAGTGCTTATACGGTGTGCGTTGTATCTAGCAATTAACAAACGTGAAGATATTGCATAGATACAGGAGGGCGCAAGAGTGTAACTTTCTATTCATGTCTATAAAATCACTAGATGCTAGGCCAACACGCACGATACCTAACGTAGATTATTAATTAACTAAACATAACAGGGTTGAAAAAATGTATCAAAAATAAAAAAAATAAGAGATGTACGGGCGGAGGGAATTGAACCCTCGACCTTCTGCGCTCCACATATGTTACATGTAAAGCAGACATCATAACCCCTAGACTACGCCCGCTTGTCACTTGTTTGCTGAGAAAATTTTGAGCATTAAAATTCTTATACAGTAAAAAATGAGAGGTGCAGAAGTGGGAGCGCTTTGAACCAGCCAAAATGCGCAGTAGGCGCGGGGCACTCGCATTACAAACACTAGAGCCTAGCAGCTTTCCATGAACCTAAGAAATCAACGATTAATGTTTCTGTTACTCCTGCTTTCCCTCACCAACATCTTCTGCCTTGACATCTTCCTTATCCCCCGGCCAGAACTGCTCTGCATGCTGATCTAATACATGCTTGGTGAACTTGGTGATCTTTGAAGGCTAGGACTGGGCAGAAACGACGAGCAACATTGCCGACAGCCTGCTTCTTGACAGCACGACAGACTTGCTCCTTGCGCGATGTATGCATTTTACAAGCCTAGTCTGCTAATGCTATCGAAGATTTATGGTTCCATTAACACGCCCAAATCCACTGCGCATCCATCCTGGAGAAACATACCGCAGACTCAAACATGTGTATCTGAGTAGCCTTATCCTGGAAAACATCACAATAAACATGTCATAATTTTGATCGCTTTTTCTTTTTTGGTTTATACTGTGCTCGCTCACTCGCTTCTAGCTGATGTTACGATGTTTGTATAGCATGTTTACCTCAGGTTTGATCGTGTCGACAACGAGTGACGGTTAAGCTCTTCCCACTCGTACGCAGCGTTTTAGTTTCAATTTCTTGTTTTTTCTCATCTGTCCATGAATGTTTGTGGTGCGGTTAGCTCGCCGAAGTGGGTGAACTAAACCCTCTTTTTCATGGCTGAACACCAGCACTATTTTGGGAGGGTGTTTTGCAGGAATCTCTTATATTTGTGATATTTGTTGCCTAGGTAGCCGCTCACTTGAAACGCAATTTCTGTAAGTTCAGATTTTCATATCCAGCACAAGTATAGCCAAGTTTGGTTTTTGTAATCCTAGTATACGTTGCGTAGTGTATGTTCACCTTTCACGAGCCTCCTCCCGAGCATGCGCTCATTCGACTCTAGGTTGTGGTTATCAGTGCAGGTTTTCACTCCTCAACGTTCTGATAACCCCTGTCTGGCAAGGCACACCGTTTGTGAGTCTTTGCACATTTCCTAACCATCAAAAGAAACCGGGCAAGACCTTGGATCTTTTTTTGGTCAGTGTTCCAGACAGAACAAGTAGTTTTTTTACATGTAAACATGAACCGTAGGTTGTAGGATGTTAACTGGATCTTGAAGAAAATGTTACACTATAGATGTTGTCCGACTAACATTCGGTACCCTTGAAGAAACTATAGGCGGTTGTGCGTGGGGATATCATGCTGGCTACCAATGCAAACGCTAAACGCCGTGAAACAAACAGACAGCTACTTCGTGGGTAGCACTATATGGTCGCGTGCACCTACCACCACCGCCTGGAATTTTTTCCGCTGGTCGCACACTGCAGACAATGCCTGGTCGTCGATACCACAGCACAAGTACCACAGACGTTCTTTCCACATTCATTACACGAGAATGGAGTGCCTTGCATCGCAATAACCATATCCATATCCATATCCACATGCATACTGTCGCTCTGGGCGTGTAGTAGAGCATCGCAGTCTTCACAGCGAGGCAGTTGTGACGTGGGCTGACCCTGTTGTACGGGCGCGGCGAAGATGGCCACCTGGACAGGGGGTGCTGGGAGCTCCTTCCAGAAGGAGTGTAGGGTCGACTTCTGTGGTTTCGAGACTACTTGGCAGGGCAGTTGAGAGGGCAGCGTTTCGGAAGGAACGGGTGAGACTTCCAGATGGGCGCGTTGGGCGGCGAAGAGTTTGTTCAGTGTCTTCTCTGTGCAGCGTTAGTGGGCCGCGTCTACCTGAAAACATGTAACCGTAGCGACTGACCATGTATTGTGCGCTCATCAGGGCGGTTGTCGCGGAGTCTCTTGCACGTGCGGTTGCCCCAGTCGCTGCTCTTAACTCGACTTGCACTCATCAAGTCCCAGCCACTGGAGGATAGGGGTAAGCAGTCGGTGGAATGCTTGCGTTTAAAGCCCATGTTTGCGATGGATGAAGGAGGGCGACTGGTGGTGGTGGTGGTGGTGGTGGTGGGTGTTGTGGGTGACGAAGAGCAGAGCGGCTGGCCGAGGGAGACGCGAACTGTGATCGCGAGCGCGTCGCGTGCTCCTCCTGGAAGGACGGAGCGAGTCGCGTTGCTGATGGCCGTCTCACGTGGTCACCCCACCACCCCTCATCGTGACGCTCGTCCTCAATTCATCGAACCCATCCAACACCATGGTCACTCGCAAAGCCTCTCACGCCGGCTCCTGGTACACGGACAACGCGCAGCTGCTCTCGCAGCAACTCGACGGCTGGCTCGGAGCCGTGCCCAGCACTACCAGGCCCATCGGCTCGGCCTCATCACAGCAAGGCCCCGTCTCGCTGCCGAGGCCGGGTGCGCGTGCCATCATCGCCCCGTATGCGCCATGAGGAAGCTGTAGCATGGACACGAGGCTCACGCATACGCAGACATGCCGGCTACTCGTACTCTGGGCCAGCTGCTGCCTGGGCCTACAAGAGCGCCGACTGGGCGAATGCGTACGTCAAGCGCGTCGAGGCAAATCCACCACAACCATGGTGCTGACCGCTCAACAGCAAACGCGTCTTTCTGCTCGGCCCTTCACACCACTACTACCTTAGCGGCGCCGCAACGACGGCCTGCGCCAAGTACCGCACGCCACTTGGCGACCTCAGCGTAGACACGACGCTGGTCCAGGAGATCAAGCAAGCATGGGGCCTGGAGATCATGTCCAAGAGCATCGACGAGGACGAGCACAGCTTGGAGATGCACCTGCCGTACATCCACAAGATGCTGTCGTTGAACAACTCAAACTTCCAGAACGACACCACATCTGTCCCTCTGGTCCCCATCCTGGTGGGCAATACCGACGCAGACGCCGAGACTCGCTATGGCTCCCTGCTCTCTCCCTACCTCTGCGACCCCGCCAATCTCTTCGTCATCTCGTCAGACTTCTGCCATTGGGGCTCCCGCTTCCGCTACACATATTATCAGCCCCCGGACAACTCCCCGGCCACGCAACTGAAATCGAATTCGCGCGTACAAAACGAATATCCCATACACGAGAGCATTGCCGCCGTCGACCGCGAGAGCATGGATGCAGTGGAGAGCGGATCCCATAGCCAGTTCCTCAGCCAACTCAGAAAGACGGGCAACACGGTGTGTGGCAGGCACCCCATTGGTCTCTTCATGGCTGCTGTAGAGAAAGCCGAAGGGCTGGGGGAAGCAAAGGGCACCTTCAAGTTCTTGAGGTACGAGAGGAGCAGTCTGGTGGACGAGGTGAGGGATAGCAGTGTATCTTACTGCAGTGCTTTCGCAGTGCTATAAGCTGTTGCTAGCTAGGAAACCGAGGCCGGAATTTCGCAATAGCATTTGTTAGGAGAATTAACTATCTAGGAGAATATACCAAGTAACATTGCCCATAAAAACCAAGCTACTGTGCAAGAAGCTGATTTCGACATACAGCCCCAACGCCCTCTGTGCTGCGTCATATCAAGTCACGCTTTGGAATCTACTCAAACCGCGTCTGCCTGGACAGATACTCAAACTCTGGGAATAAGTGCCTCGGGCGCCTCTCCTGCCCGCCGTGTAAGATGGCATCAAGCTCATCTCGGAAATTGGTCGGGTTCGGCGCAGCTGAGACCTTTGGCCGGCTAGGCAGTTCCCAATCGCTCTTGCGTTTCTTCTCCTCCATCTCCTCCCTTAGAATCTTGACTTGCCTCTTCATCTCAATCCACAACTCTAGCTTTTCTACATCTGGTTCTGATACCGACGTGACATGGTCAGTACCAACCAAAGAAACGCACCGTCCAAAGTTCGCATGGAGAGTATCGGCCCCTAGTTTCATCGGATCCTGAGGCCCAGCCCATCTCTCTGCTTCCACTTCAGCCTCGGTAAGGTTCTTGCCGCCTCGCGCAGCCATGGCAAGGAGCGTGGCTACAAAAGCCTCTTGCATGTACGCGAAGGAGAATTTCGACGTGATTTCTGCAATCTTCTCGCAAAGCTCGTCGGGAAAATCGACCTCTTTGTTATCCTTGAGCTTGCCTTGCCAGAATTTGGCATACTGGACACGCTGGCCGTAGCTTGGGTCAGGGAAGTAGTATTTCCGATCGAAACGACTCGGCCTCTTCGCAATGCCGGGGTCCAACCTATCGAGATGGTTGGTTGAGCCGACCATGAGGATACCATCGTTCGCCTTGAGACCGTCGACTTCGTTGAGGAAGTACGAGCGCACACTGTCGCTGACGATTGAATCCAGGTCCTCGAAGACCAGAAAGCAGGGCGCTTCTTGGCGAGCTTTGCCAAAGATCTGTGCTAGCGCGTATTCCGGACCGCCGAAAGACGACAGCGTACGGACGTAGAGCGTGGGAACAGCAAGCCTTGTGTCTCCATGTGCGCCGCGCTGGTAAAGGCTGTGCATCATGGCCTTGATGCTAATCGTCTTGCCGTTCCCTGGCGGGCCGTAGTAGATGAGGCCGCGCTTCCATGGCACCTTCAGATCTTGGTACGTCTTCTGGCCATCGAAGAAGTTGTCCACGTCGGCAATGAGCGACTTCTTCATATCTTCGTCGAGGATGACGCTCTCCCAGTTGCTCTTCTGCACGGAATTGTACAATTCGGCGCTCTTTTGCCAGTAGCCGCCGTCAAACACCCACACCTCGTTGTGCAGCTCGGCGCCCCACTTGGTCGCCTCCTTGATGAGCTCGTCCACCTTGTGCGAGGCGTTAGAGAGGATGTAGTGGTTCGTGGGGGCCGGGTACGATGCCATGCCATCGCGGCCCTCTGCCAGGTACAGGATGGCTTCCTGATCTTTCCACCTGTACATGTATTTGCCGAAGATAACGCGCTCCACCATGACGCCGGGGCCCGTGTCGAGCCTCCGGGCGGGCGGTGCGTACGAGCGCCATTTCAGGCCAGGGCCGTAGACGGGGTCCTTGACCACGTCGTCG